CATGGCAGCAACTGAATGCATTTAGGCATCTATTTGTGGTGAAGACGACTTGCTGAAGTTCAAACCAAGCATCAGAACGGGGAAGAAAGGGGATTTAAGTGACTTTGAATGTGGCATGGTTGTTAGTGCCAGACGGGCTGGTCTGAGTATTTCAAAAACTGCTCATCTACTGGGATTTTCACACACAACCATCTATACAATTTACAGAGAATGGTCCGAAAAAAAGAAAAAATCCTGTGAGCAGCAGTTGTGTGGTTGAAAATGCCTTGTTGATGTCAGACATCAGAGGAGAATGGGCAGACTGGTTTGAGATGATAGAAAGGCAACAGTAAATCAAATAAATATCCGTTACAACCAAGATACGTAGAATACCATCTCTGACACAACACACTGAACCTTGAAGCAGATGGGCTACAGCAGCAGAAGACCACACCGAGTTTCACTCCTGTCAGCTAAGAACAGGGAAAAATGCACACAGGCTCACCAAAATTGGACAATAGAAAACTGGAAAAGCATTGCATGGTCTGATGAGTCCTGATTTCAGCTGTGAAATTCAGATGTTAAGGTCAGAATTTGGCGTAAACAACATGAAAGCATCGATCCACCCTGCCTTGTATCAACGGTTCAGGCTGGTGGTGGTGTAATGGTGTGGGGATATTGTTTTGGCACACTTTGGGCCCCTTAGAACCAATTCAACAACATTTAAATGCCATGGCCTACCTGAGTATTGTTGCTGACCATGTCCATCCCTTTATGGCTACAGTGTCCCATCTTCTGATGGCTCCACAGTCACCAGATCACAATCCAATAGGGCACCTATGGGATGTGGTGGAATGGGAGATTTTCATCATGGATGTGCAGCCAACAAATCTGCAGCAACTGCGTGATGCTATCATGTCAATATGGACCAAAATCTTTGAGGAGTGTTTCCAACACCTTGTTGAATCTATGCCGTGAAGAATTATGGCAGTTTTGAAGGCAAAAAGGTGCTAGCAAGGTGTAGCTATTAAAGTTGCCGGTAACTGTACATCTGCAATATATACAGTTGCAAGAAAAAGTATGTGAACCCCTTGGGATTACGTGGAGTTTTGCATGAATTGGGCATAAAATGTGCTCTGAACATCATCTAAGTCACAAAAATAGAAGAACACAGTCTGCTGAACATAATACTACACAAACATTAAACTCCATGTAATCCCAAGGGGTTCACATACTTTTTCTTGCCACTGTATTCCTCACCTACCCAGGTGTGTCAGAGTGCATGGTGCTGTTTGCAGAGCTGTGGGCACAGAAAACAAGGGACCAATACATCCAGCAGCTTCTTCAGGGTTCAGTGCTACAAATAATTGTGACAACTTGACGCATTTTTCCAATTTGTCCAATTTTTTCCAATTTGTTCACCTGCTAATCCCCCAATGAGCCTCCAGGGTCGAGCCTGTGTGTGCCATTAGATTGTTACCCAATCCAACTAAAAATGGTAAAAATCAGGAGACTTTCATTTATAGGCAATTTATGATAAAGAAGTAGATCATAACGGGAAACAGATTTTCATGACTATTGAACCAGAGATAGGCTCGTCCACTTCCCCATTACCACCATTACCGTTCCGCACCAACCCCCTTCCCCTTAACCAATTATACTAACAAAAGACATGACACCAATTTTGGAGTAAATGGCCAACATGGCCTTTTATTAACAACTCAAGTTACAATACACCAATACACCATACACCAACCATTCCTTATAACAGAAACCCAAAGAATTGTTGTTGGTCTTCGAAGGCACCCCAAACGATCCAAAATGCACCGCACCTGCGGACAACCATATACACTAGGCCTCCAGCCAACCAACCAGCTCGGAGACAACCATACCGTCCACAGTGCAGCACCACCACCTTCCAGTTAAACCTTGGTTAACTGGGAATGTCCCCGGGCATCCCATACCACCGATGGGTCCCACACCATTGTTGTTTACCTTCCAAATAAGAACCGCCTCCAAAGACCAACAACCGCCCAGAACCAACATAATCCCCCCTCTACCTGGAGGGACCCAAAACTCACCCAAACAGGGAGGGCGGGAGGGAAGCTCGCACTCCTGCTGTCCAGCTAAACTAACGCCCCCTCACAAACCTCCCACCCTAAGGTGCAGCAAAACCCCACCTACACCAACCTCTACCAATCATCTACCCCCCACTATCAAAACAAATCCCCCTGGAGCTAACCTTAACCCTTTCTGCTCCTCCTTCCCCCACTCTGGGCCTAGTCATGTATGCCCTGCGCTATTTCTTCTTTATTTTCGCTACGGGCATTTCTTTTATGTTTGGTATATCTCCTAGATTGTAAGCTCCAAGGATCAGGCCCTCCTATCCCTCTTGTATTGAACTGTATTGTTACTGTATTGTCTCCCTTTATATTGTAAAGCGCTGAGCAAACTGTTGGCGCTATATAAATCCTGTATAATAATAATATATGTATTGTTTGATTTTTATTTATTGCTATTCATCCACAGAATTCATCATTTAGTTATCATATGGGGAGTATAGGGTGCATACTTACAGCTTATGCTACTTACCCCTAAATGGCTCTGTTTTGCCTTACCTTCTCTAACACGCGAATTGCTGCCATGTGAAAGAAATGTCCATATACAAACTTACCTAAAATGTCCCCTTAACAGAGACATATGCCTAAATCATGTTATCTTGGCTTTCTGAGATAATTACAACAGTTTACCCTCATCCCCCAGTTGCTGCTATCTGACCTTCTCGAAAAGCCAATAAAGAAGTCGTTACAATCAGGATGAAGTCTGGTGACTATTAATGAAGGTCAGAAGGGGACAGAGTTGGCTGAAGAACAGCAGATATAGATGAGATGAGCTTTGCTACACTGATTAGTAGTACACAGACAATTTGCTGAAAAATCAGTGCACAGTACAATGGACTCTGAAGATACTGCAGGTTCCATCGCTTGTAAGGAATAAGTAGAAAATACAATTTGCATGGACATCAGGGGAAGTCCCCAATGGGCATAGGTATGGATGCTGTCCTCAGCAGCACAAAATGGCATCATCAAGATATGAGCTGATTATTTAAAGAATTTCTAAACCCACAACAGTAACATCAGTCTGTATATGCAGTAAAGCATGTTTGTTATACTCACTGTGGAACCTAAGGGGTTAATCCTCTGCATTGCATAAAAATGCTGTTTGATCCTGACTTCTCTAATCCTCCCCTTCTTTTACTGTCCCCAATCCATCTGCCATAGTACAGGGCAGCAGTGGCAAGTCTGCACATGCTCTGTTTGGTTTGCATTGCTAGAGAGTTTTTTTGGGGGGAGGGTGCATTTGATCAGCACAGGGCCAATCAGAGCTGGATAGAGGGTCAGGGGTTATGATCCTCCCCTTCTTCCAGTGCCCTCCTCTTATCTCCTGATAAGATATAGTGTGTGGAGTCACTCTGCACATGCTCAGTTTAGTGTGTATTGCTAGAGAGGTTTTATTTATCCCTTCAGAAATTGCATTTGATCAGCACAGGGCCAATCAGCACTGTCTAGACAGAGGTCAGGGGTTCTGCATCCTGCTAGAACAGAAAGAAAACTCCTCCTAGAAGCTTTAACCAGTGCTCTGCTGGACACTGATAGATGTCACAAGACTGCTGTAACTGCTGATGAGAAAAGGCATTTAGCAGTGTATATATACTAAAATAATTGCATTTCCATGTTGTGCGTACTGTGGGAGACCAGTTAGAGTGAATGCAGGGTCCTGGGTTTAGTAACACTTTAAAAATAATTCTTGCTTGAAAAAGAAAAATGCTGATTCCTGCTTGTCTCTGCAGTAGTCTTTGCTGGCATACATAGCTGAATAACAGCCAAGATGCTCATCACAAATGTCTTAAACCACTTGCAGAGAAGAGATGTGTCAGGCCAGTTCTCTAACTGAGTGCAATTGCTGGATCCAAATGTGGTGTCTGTTGTACAGTATAGTAATATATAGACACCCTGCGTTGTTGCAACAGTAAAGTGTAGATAAGACTATTAAAAAAAGTTGTTAGTACATCATGTCCGACTGCATTTTTATTTTTGCAACTTTTATTCAGACTTGGCCAAGACAATAATTTTGGTCCAGCCTCTGCAGAACGGAAAGGTGGAGAGAGAAATCCCCTTTCTGAGGCTACAAAGGAAAAGACTGAATCAGCCCATTCAGTTGAGGACCTGTGCAAATGTCCAGTTCATTTTCCCTCTTACTGCTGGCCCTGCTGGTAAAGTGTTAATAAACTCACAACAGTAAAATCAGTCTGTATATGCAGTAAAGCATGTTTGTTATACTCACTGTGGAACCTAAGGGGTTAATCCTCCGGATTGTGAAAAGAGGCTGTTTGATCCCCTCTACTCTGATCCTCCCTTTCTACCACAGTCCCCAGTCCATCTGCTGATAGTACAGAGCTCTAAGAAGCTCTCTGTACATGCTCAGTTTGGTGTGTATTGCTAGAGAGTTTTTTTTTTCTGGTAGGGTGCATGTGATCAGCACAGGGCCAGTCAGTACTGTCCAGAAGGTCTGAGCTCATGCAGCCTCATAGGACACTCAGAGGAGAATGAAAACTCTTCCTATAAGCTTTAACCAGTGCTCTGCTGGACACTGATAGAAGTCACAAGACTGCTCTAACTGCTGATGAGAAAAGGTTTTTAGCAGTTTATATTTACTAAATTAATTGTATTTCTATATTCTGTGTGTGGGAGACCAGACAAAGTGAATGCAGGATCCTGGGTTTAGGAACACTTTAAAGAGACAGTCATAATCAATTTTGGGTAGGTGTCAGAACTGTCTGCTAGCTCCTTAAAAATGCCATACAGTGGCAGAGTTCCCGCCATACATTATGGGTCAAAGAAACTTGCCCATTATCACATCCCTCACATATTATAAGGCCCACAATAATCTGTTCATCAATGTACTCCTTCGAAGGACTGGCCACAACTATATTTCTAAAATATAAAATTGCTGTGTGTGAGTTAAAATGGTACTAAATCCAGGACCCTGCATCTACTATATCTGGTCTCCCACAATACACACAACATGGAAATGCAATTATTTCTGTATTTATAAATTGCTCAATACCTTTTCTCATCATCAGTTAGAGCAATCTTGTGACTTCAGCAGAGCACTGGTTAAAGCCTGTAGGAGGAGTTTTCTTTCTGCTCTAGGAGGATGCAAAATCCCTGACCTCTGTCTGGACAGTGCTGATTAGCCCTGTGCTGATCACATGCACTCTCCCAAGAAATAAAAAAAAAAAAACCTCACTAGAAATACACACCAAACTGAGCATGTGCATGTGGCTACGGCTTCAGTCTGTCTTATCGGGTGGACATCTGAACAAGAGGAGGGGCAGAGAAGTCAAGATCAAGCGGCCTTTTTACACAATGCAGAGGATTAACCCCTTAGCTTCCACAGTGAGTATATCAAGCATGCTTTACTGCATATACAGCTTGATTTTACTGTTGTGGGCAGCGGTGTATTTAGGTTTCGTGCTGCACTAGGCAACACAAATTTGGCTCCCCCCCCCATGGAGAGACCCTGACACCGACCAACACCCCCCTCCCCCAGGAAGAGAGCCTGACATTGACCAACAACACCCCAACGCCCCCACCCGAGAGAGCCTTTCACTATCACCGCCCCCCATACACTGGCAATCCCTCCACCCCTGCGACAGAGAAGACATCTTCACAGCTCCGGACATCCCTGGGAACAGTCAGGCTCTGCATACACCATCAAGCAGCCCACAGCCTCTCTCAGATCCCACCCAGTCCCCATGCTGCGTGTGTCCCTTGTTCCTTCCCTTCTTTCGTGGGGAGGCGCTGCCCCCCTGAAAAATGCCGCTGCCCCCCTGAAAGATACCTCTGCCCCCCCGAAAGATGCCACCCTAGGCAAGTGCCTTGTTTGCCTTGTGATAAATACGCCCCTGGTTGTGGGTTTAGTAACACTTTACGCTTGTGATGCTACATAGAAAGGTAAATATTTCTAGTTAAGCCCTTGATTGTCTGATCATTCGCATTTCGCATTCCTCTGAGGATGCTATTGGGTGAAATGCGTTGGAGCAGAGCTGAGACAGTGATGTCATCAAGTATGGCCATGATACAGAGAGGTGTCTGACTCGTGGAGTGTTTGATTACATTGGGCAGCACAGTGGCTTAACGGTTAGCACATCCGCTTGGCAGTACTAGGGTCGTTGGTTCAAATCCCAACCACGGCACCACCTGCCTGGAGTTTGCATGTTCTCCCCTGTGCCTATGTGGGTTTCCTTGGGGTACTCTGATTTCCTCCCACAGACATGCTGGTAGGTTCATTGGCTCCTGTCTAAATTGGTCCTAGTATGTGTATGTATGAATGTAAGTTAGGGACCTTAGATTGTACACCCCTTGAGGGTTAGGGACTGATGTGAATGTACAATATATATGTAAAGCGCTGCATAAATTGAGGATGCTATATAAGTACCTGTAATAAATGAATAATTAAATTTATTACTACTTGAAATTCGTAGATGCACAATCTTGTTTATAATAAATATTTTAAGGCAGGGGCGGACTGACAACTCAAGGGGGCCCCCGGGCAATAGGGGATCATGGGGCCCTTGTGTCCTTGCCCAAACTCAAAAAAAGCCTATGAAAAAGGTAACAGGGGCATCTCATGGGGCCCCCTACTGACCCTGGGCACTCGGGCAGTGCCCGAGTTTCCAAATGGTCAGTCCGCCACTGTTTTAAGGGATCATGCAATATGGCCATTTTTACTTTGCATGTATTGGCTATGATTGCAGACATTATGTAGTAACATTGGACTGCAAGTTTTTTTAAACATAAAGATCCACAGATTGCAGCAAAGTCTTAACCCCTGAGAAGCCAGACAGGGCGGTGTGGTGTTGCTGAAACAATATTACTGAAAGAGATTGGGCCTATGTTGTGTGGCCACAGTCTCTGGAACCTGTGTGCTCACTGGTCTGGTAGAGGTGCACCAAAGTGGCTGAAAAAAGGCAGTGGGAGATCTACACTGGATACTGTGTCCTGGTGAACTTTTTGTGAATGTTTATAGTATTCATTTAAAGCAGAAGTCACTTTATATGTTGATGGAGGACACTGAAGTTACTAGCTAGCAGGCGATGTGCATTTGCTTTTAACGCACAAAGAACTGGATTGATCATTTTGATTCATTTATTTAGATCGCATGTATCACTTTGTTATTGCACACGGCACTTTTTATTATTATTTTTTGCACTGATAATTTTAATTGAGGAATTTTGCAAACATTTCATGACATATTTTGCAGAGTTGTTCACCTGAGGACATCTATTTTATTTGAATTGATCCTCCACATTGCCTAATTTTGTGGACCTTGTAAGACCAACTTGATATCACGATTGAAGCACTCTAGCTAGCTTTAAGATCTCCCCACCAAAGTTCCGAATTCTGTTTCCTGCCTTGAAAGTGATTGTAGCACAGCAAGATGTGACCTACGTAAAAAAATTGAAAATCTATCAGGTACAGGGGTCTCCTGAGTTATAGGTCTCCTGACCTTTAAAGTCACCAATCACAACACGTTGAGAAAAATGACATTACTGTTTCGAAGCACATTGATTTTGCTATATTAAAATGTAAAAAAAAATCACATTGTCTTACTTATGAAGCTGAAATCTGTCGACTTTATGCTAAATGTGTATGTAACATTTAATTTACAGACTGATTAACCCAAGTCCCTGTCTTCCTCGTTATTGCAATTTGCAACGCAAATCACTGCACTTTCACAGATGCATTTCATAAATACAGATTAACAAATGAATTCTAGTAGTTGTCTTCTGCAAGGAATATGGATTTTACATCAGTGTAAGCCCCATCGTTTTATACACACTGTCAACAGTGTTTTGCCATCTTCATATATAATATAGCAGGGGCTATGGAGGCCAAACACAATAGATTCAAAAGTTTATGGGGTTAAATGGTAGAATAGAACAAAGCACATAATACTTAATTACTATTGTGGTCTTAATGAATTTATTTCAGTGAGTCAGCTAGTTCCCCCCGGTCACCTAACACATCACATGTAACATTCTTCAGTCCATTCTGATGATCTCATCAATGTGAACCATTTATGGACTACAAGATAGGCAGGTCTTTTACAGGGCTCCAAATCGATGACTAGATCTAATGAATAAGATATAGGAGGGGAGAGCAGAGGTTTCTGTTAAAAATTCAATGATCACTGATGGAAAAATATGTCAGTATGAGCAAATCAATACATGTTTCATGCTATCGTGAACACAGAGAATTTTGTTTTTTTGTTCTCTGGTTTATTTATTTCTGATTCATGTTTTTTCCCTATTTACACCCAATGTGTATCATGTTTGTTTTAGTTTTTCTTTTTTACTATTTTTTTATTCCTTTATTATTGTTCTTTTTATATTGTATTTTGTAACTAATTTCACTCTTCGTTTCCAACATTATTTGTTTTACTTTTTCTTCTTTATTTTTCTGATCTTTGAATGTACTATCAGAAGTATAGCTTAGATATACATGGTAAAAAAGAAGGCAGGAACAGTTGTAATTTGTAGAGGTTGCAGGTGCAGAAATAGTTATAGACCAAACCTGTCCAAAGTTGTGTCATTAATATTATTGTGCTTTTATATTGTATTTTGTAACTAATTTCACTCTTCGTTTCCAACATTATTTGTTTTACTTTTTCTTCTTTATTTTTCTGATCTTTGAATGTCCTATCAGAATTATAGCTTAGATTTACATAGTAAAAAAGAAGGCAGGAACAGTCATAATTTGTAGAGGTTGCAGGTGGTGAAATAATGTTAGATCAAACCTGTCCAAAGGTGTGTCATTCTTAAAACCGATTTCAAAGGAAAAAAAAACCTCTTGTAACCCAAGCACCGCTACCGGACAGCAAGGGGTTTATTTACTAAAGCTGGAGAGTCCAAAATCAGACTCCCTTCTGCATAGAAACCAATCAGCTTCCAGGTTTCGTTGCCAAAGCTTCATTGAACAAGTTGAGGTTAGAAGCTGATTGGTTTCTATGCAGAAGGGAGTCTGATTTTGGACTTTCCAGCTTTAGTAAATAAACCCCCAAGGGTCCGGACTTCATTCCAGACTGCACTTCTTTAAAGCAATAAATGCTTGTCCAGAACCCAACCCAATATGGCCAGAACAGTCAACTTTTGTACGCCTGTTGGGGTAAATCCTTCTCTCAAGACTAGTGTTCCCTGGATTCGATTTAAACAAGTTATATCATTAGAATTTTTTATTTTACAGTTCTGTCCCCTATTAAACAAAGTATATGTAGTACTTTTCCCTTTCTTTATAAGTGCTTTCTATGGCTTGTCCCCCCTATCCAAGTTACCCTTTTAATTTTGAATGTGTCCAGGCTTGGTCCAGGAGGGCGAACTGCACGATGGCTGTCCTCCCTTTTCTGGCCATCTGGATAAGGGCCTGGTTGGAATTTTAAAGGGGAACCGTACGCCATTTACATTGGACTACTCCATAACATCATGTTCTTCTTCAAGGCATCCTTCAAACATTTAAAGGATTTAATGTTATTTAAAAAGCTGTGTATTTTCAGTGTTGTAGTTTAAGCTGCATGAAAAGACCCTCTCCCTATTGAATGGCATTTTTACAAAATTTTTGTTTGTATGGGTACATGTCCCCCATGGCAATGCCCAGCAACTTATGTCCTTTTTCAACGATGTCCTGCCTATTAGCCTTGAAAATGCCTGAAAAAAATAGCTATTTTGGCCTTCTATAGACTTCAATTCCCCACACAACATGGCTAAACCACATCTGACTAAGTTAGCTCATCTCACAAATAAAAAGGACACAAAGCAAGAGCTGGTAATAGCCCATACATACCAGATCATATATTTGATTAGTCGTCTCACTCTAAGCTGCTAAAAGCTCATTTTTGATTGGCTGCTCTTTACACTTTTTTTTTTGTAAATAATCATATCGGTACTTTGTTAGCTCCTATAAAGCAGGCACATCTGTTGTGTCCATTCAGGAGATCAAACATCACTTTTGCTGAGTATCCATTTTGCCATTTTGTACTAGGTATTGTAATCTAGTTAAAAGCCAGGTACTGGAGGATCCTAGTGATGTGTTGCACTTTGACCAGTAAGTCCATGCTGTTTTTTGGAGTGATATTTCGCTGAACAATGAGATCTAAGGCAAAAACAGCAGA